TGTGAAGGATGTGAGTTGTGCTATTGCCATGGTAACCCATTATACACCATGAAACAAAGAAAATATAAAAGAAGGAACAGTCATGCCAACAGTGACAGTGTTCGAGGAGCCAGACTTTAGAGTCAGTTCCACTCGAGTCAATGGGGCAACACATCACATCACACTATAACCCATCATATCTTTGTTGATTCACCTGTGACTGAGAAAACCTTCCACCAGATTAAAAAACACAGATTACGTGATGCTTACCGAGGTTTAATATTGATCAGTCAATTCAATCAATTTTATTTATAAAGCCCAATATCACAAATCACAATTTGCCTCACAGGGCTTTACAGCATACGACATCCCTCTGTCCTTAGGACCCTCGCAGCGGATAAGGAAAAACTCCCCCAAAAAAACCTTTTAACAGGGGAAAAAGGGGATCCCTCTTCCAGGACGGACAGACGTGCAATAGATGTCGTACAGAACAGATCAGCATAATAAATTAACAGTAATACATATGACACAATGAGACAGAAAGAGAGAGAGAGACAGAGGCAGAGAGAGATGCAGGACAGACGGTAACGGTAATAGCTTACAACATCTAATCAACTAATCATCATTAGTCGTTAGTCATATTTCTACTGTTACTATACACATATGATTATTGTCACACATGTATACTGCCAGATATATTAATATATACATTAATATATACAATACAGGCCAAAAGTTTGGACACACCTTCTCATTCAATGCGTTTTCTTTATTTTCATGACTATTTACATTGTAGATTCTCACTGAAGGCATCAAAACTATGAATGAACACATGTGGAGTTATGTACTTAACAAAAAAAGGTGAAATAACTGAAAACATGTTTTATATTCTAGTTTCTTCAAAATAGCCACCCTTTGCTCTGATTACTGCTTTGCACACTCTTGGCATTCTCTCCATGAGCTTCAAGAGGTAGTCACCTGAAATGGTTTCCACTTCACAGGTGTGCCTTATCAGGGTTAATTAGTGGAATTTCTTGCTTTATCAATGGGGTTGGGACCATCAGTTGTGTTGTGCAGAAGTCAGGTTAATACACAGCCGACAGCCCTATTGGACAACTGTTAAAATTCATATTATGGCAAGAACCAATCAGCTAACTAAAGAAAAACGAGTGGCCATCATTACTTTAAGAAATGAAGGTCAGTCAGTCCGGAAAATTGCAAAAACTTTAAATGTGTCCCCAAGTGGAGTCGCAAAAACCATCAAGCGCTACAACGAAACTGGCACACATGAGGACCGACCCAGGAAAGGAAGACCAAGAGTCACCTCTGCTTCTGAGGATAAGTTCATCCGAGTCACCAGCCTCAGAAATCGCAAGTTAACAGCAGCTCAGATCAGAGACCAGATGAATGCCACACAGAGTTCTAGCAGCAGACCCATCTCTAGAACAACTGTTAAGAGGAGACTGCGCCAATCAGGCCTTCATGGTCAAATAGCTGCTAGGAAACCACTGCTAAGGAGAGGCAACAAGCAGAAGAGATTTGTTTGGGCCAAGAAACACAAGGAATGGACATTAGACCAGTGGAAATCTGTGCTTTGGTCTGATGAGTCCAAATTTGAGATCTTTGGTTCCAACCGCCGTGTCTTTGTGAGACGCAGAAAAGGTGAACGGATGGATTCCACATGCCTGGTTCCCACTGTGAAGCATGGAGGAGGAGGTGTGATGGTGTGGGGGTGTTTTGCTGGTGACACTGTTGGGGATTTATTCAAAATTGAAGGCACACTGAACCAGCATGGCTACCACAGCATCCTGCAGCGACATGCCATCCCATCCGGTTTGCGTTTAGTTGGACGATCATTTATTTTTCAACAGGACAATGACCCCAAACACACCTCCAGGCTGTGTAAGGGCTATTTGACCAAGAAGGAGAGTGATGGAGTGCTGCGGCAGATGACCTGGCCTCCACAGTCACCGGACCTGAACCCAATCGAGATGGTTTGGGGTGAGCTGGACCGCAGAGTGAAGGCAAAGGGGCCAACAAGTGCTAAACACCTCTGGGAACTCCTTCAAGACTGTTGGAAAACCATTTCAGGTGACTACCTCTTGAAGCTCATGGAGAGAATGCCAAGAGTGTGCAAAGCAGTAATCAGAGCAAAGGGTGGCTATTTTGAAGAAACTAGAATATAAAACATGTTTTCAGTTATTTCACCTTTTTTTGTTAAGTACATAACTCCACATGTGTTCATTCATAGTTTTGATGCCTTCAGTGAGAATCTACAATGTAAATAGTCATGAAAATAAAGAAAACGCATTGAATGAGAAGGTGTGTCCAAACTTTTGGCCTGTACTGTACTTTCAACATATTGTACCACAGTAGCCAGAACTATAACTATAATATTATTACTTTCATTAATGTTGTTGTAAGCTACTGTCATTACCGTCTGTCCTGCATCTCTCTCTCTCTCTCTCTCTCTCTCTCTCACACACACACTCTCTCTCTCTCTGTCTCATTGTGTCATATGGATTACTGTTAATTTATTATGCTGATCTGTTCTGTACGACATCTATTGCACGTCTGTCCGTCCTGGAAGAGGGATCCCTCCTCAGTTGCTCTTCCTGAGGTTTCTATCATTTTTTTCCCCCGTTAAAGGGTTTTTTTGGGGAGTTTTTCCTTATCCGCTATGAGGGTCCAAAGGACAGAGGGATGTTGTATGCTGTAAAGCCCTGTGAGGCAAATTGTGATTTGTGATATTGGGCTTTATAAATAAAATTGATTGATTGATTGAACATTAATGAAAGTAATAATTAGGGTCCGGGCAGCTAAGCTGCCAGGACACTATTGTAATCCTAGGTATTCTTCTTCTTTCTTCTTTCTTCTTTCTTCTTCTGAGGAAATCATACTTCCCATGGGTGAAAACTCACCAAACTTTGCACAAACGTCCAGTCTCATGCCAGATATCCTCAGCTGTAAACTCAAGCCAATAGTCCTGATGGTGGCGCCACAGCAAGCATCTAAAGTTCAAAACTTTGAAAATTCATAACAAATCAACCATATGTGCTACAACTTCACAACCTTCATGTAGCCCCAATACTGAAGAAACTTTTGTACATTTAAACCTATTAAAAATTATGAAGTTCATCACTCTGTTTTTTTTTCAAAAACTGTAAAACTTCTTAAACCAATCTCCTCCCACAATTTTTGCTCAATTGACACCAAACTTGCTACAGAGCATCTTCAGACTGTCCTACAAAAACTACGTTTCTCAGATTTTTGATTTATCAAAAATTGAGCCTACAGTGCATCAAAATGTTTGACTGTAAACGGTACTGTAAACATATACATGCAAATTCTTGCTACATAAATCTTCAATGTTCAATGAAAAAACTGACAAAATTCTAGAGTCATGGTAGATGATGTGTGGCAAATTTCAGAATTTTATCTCAAAAACTCAAAACTCAAACTTTTGACAGCATTTTGAATTTTGCTCTAATGTAAACAATTGGAGTCATTGTAAAAATGGCAATTTGAAACATCAGTTTTTCTTTTATGGAGCAAATCAATCATTGTTACAAACAAAATAATAATAAATAAACAAATTACCAACATCTCCATGCTGTCTAGACGCAATATGTGTATTTTCAGATTTTTGTTTCGATAACTGAATTTTTTACAGTGGTTTGAAATCTGCTTTTCCATGCATGGACGGCTGCTAAACCTGCACGTCTGGCTTAGTCAATTTGTGAAGCTACACATGAATTGTCACTGACTAATTAGCTAATGAGATAGAAATTGATAGAAATTGATCCTTAGTCTCAGAGGTTGGGAGTTCAAACCTCAGCTGATGCAAAAGGCAGATTGTGTTGCTAAATTCCTAAATGTCTTCCAATTCTTCTGCTTGTTGCTCAGAATTGTCTAAAAATGCCCGGACCCGACCCATCGCTGCGCAGCAGCTATAATATTATAATTATGATTCTGGCTATTGTGGTACAATATGTTGAAAGTATATATTAATAACTGATAGTATACATATGTGACAATAATCATATGTGTATAATAATAGTAGAAGTATGACTAATGATAACAGCAGCAGCAGGAGGCATCTGGCAGGACCATGGCAGCAGCACAACCACATGTCACACTATCCAGGCACCGCTGCGATATGAGTTAACCTGCGAGACAGTGGAGCACAAAGGCTCCGGAGAAGAAGCTGAGTTAGTGACATGCAGTACGGCCGAGTTAGCAAGATGCAGTAACAGGACATAAGAGAGAGAGAAAGAGAGAAGGAGAGAAGGTATTATAGGAGGTCCCCCGGCAGACTAGGCCTAAGTCAGCCTAACTAGGGGCTGGTCTAGTCTTAAATGTGGAGATGGTGTCTGCCTCCCGGACCGTAACAGGAAGATGATTCCACAGGAGAGGAGCCTGATAGCTGAAGGCTCTGGCTCCTGATCTACTTTTGGAGACTTTAGGGACCACGAGTAACCCTGCATGCTCAGAGTGCAGTGTTCTGGTGGGATAATATGGCACTATGAGCTCTCTAAGATATGACGGAGCCTGACCATTTAGAGCTTTATAAGTTAACAGTAGGATTTTAAATTCAATTCTGGATTTAACATTGAATAGTTGTTAAGGTGGCTGTGGCTCAGGAGTTAGAGCAGTTGTCTACCAGTCAAAAGGTCGGTGGTTTGATCTCCGGCCCGGCAGTCTACATGTTGGGCAAGATACTTAACCGCCTGTGATTATCTGATGGGCAGATGGCACCATGTATGGTATTCACAGCTACCTGTGTGTGTGAGAATGGGGTGAATGGTGCCTGTAGTGGTTTCTAAGAGTAGAAAAGCGCTATGTACATGCAGTCCATTTACCATATTTCATTCTGTAAGTGGTAGACCAAAGTGGTTTAAGTGGTAAACCAAAGCAAAGTGGTAGACCAACAATGCCATTGCCACTGGCATGGCTGTGAAAAACTAAATTGATTCCCCATTATCATACAGTATGTACTTTTTTTCTTTGTTCCTCATCAGGTACACTGGTCCAGGGTACTGTGGGATTCTGAGCGATAAGAAGGGGCCTTTCTCTGGTTGTCATGCTAGCGTGCCAGCAGCAGAGTTTGTGTCACACTGTTTGTATGATGTCTGCATCAATGAAGGACGGCAAGAAGTATTGTGTGATGCCCTGAGCAGCTACCTGGCAGAATGCCAGGAAGCTGGAGCATCAGTGTTGCCATGGAGACATCTGACCAACTGCTGTGAGTTACATATAGTACAACCTTATAGACTGAATTACTACAGACAGGCATAAAGGCACTCACTTGAGTAAATTTGCCACAGTGTGCAGTATTTTCAGATAACCCCTGGCTCTGACATTTTATCCTCAATGTCCTTAAAGTAGATTTAAAGCTGGTTTAAGCTTTAGGCTGGTTAATGATGTGAATGTAAGTACACTATACTCCAATCCATCCATGACAGGAAATTTTAACGTAAAGTCTACACAAATGCCCTGGATTGTCAAAATGTCATTAAAAACTTTACGTTCACTTGACACAAAAACTCATGTCTTGTGAGCTTGACATATTTTTTTTGTTAAGTCAACAATTTTTGAATTTTGAGTTCATTTGATGAAAATGTATAAAGCAGATTTCACTTTATAAGCTCAAGGCCAATAAACAACACATTCATTGTGCACATAACAAATTGTGGCGTGTTGGGGCTAAATGGGTAGAGTTTCCTTGCATGCCATTAGTCAGTGTGTTTAAGGCCACAAGCTGAAGAAACCCTGTGTTTAAATGTGTTGTAAATCACTCATGTTACCCATTACGCAGTGATTAATGTTTATGTATATCACAATGGTTCTAATGGGTTACAGTTATTGTTGTGGTAAAAGATATTTTCCACCATGAATTAAGTTGTATACTCATTTAATGACCGCCTGTCTGGATATTAGCATGTTTAACATGAAGTTGTGCTGAGGTGATATAACGAGCACTTCCAGGTCAGAGTTCACCTTTTTGCTTTATTCTAGCTATGAAGAAACCTAAGCTTACCACAATATATTTTTAATGTTCCATTATATTTAAAAAACAATTGTAAAATGTGTATTCATTGTTTTTTGTTCATATGACAGAATGAAATGTTCAAATAACAAAAAAAAAGTTATGTTAAACTGACATAAAAATTCATAAAAGATTCGTGTCAAGGATCATGTGACACTATTATATTGTGTCTGGTGTACTCAATTTTTTGTTATCTTACTGTACTGTACTAAACTAAAAATTTTGAGTGCAAGCTATTTCCAAAAAACATTAAGGTTAAGTGAGCAAATTGGGGTGTATGTGTATTCTAAGGTTGACAGTGCTAGCACAAGTTTTTTTATTTAAAGATACATTGGTAGGGGTGTAGTGTCAGAGTCCCGACCCATCACCAAAGAGACCAAAGGTGCAGCTCGATTTCTTCACTCACATCATCCTTGTATCCTCGTTGCAGCTGTGTCAGTTTGAAATGATGGCAAATAGGTTTCTGATGATACATGACTCTTTTTATTCGTAATATTTACAGGCATAGTGACAATTTTATTGACTAAAGATCTTCACAGGGGCTTTCAGCTGATGCAGAACCTGAGTCAAGGTGCCTCCATATTCTATTTTGTTTAATCAGTATAATAAAATAATGATATTAGGTGTCCCATTGTATTGCTGCTGGTCTCTGGTCTGGTTTTACATATATCCATATCTAATACCAAGTGGATCGAAGCAGATTAATTACATCCTCATTCTCATCATCACAGGAGAAATAGAGAAAAGGAAAAAAAAACCCGCAAAAATAGGCAAATAACAGGCATGTTTGGCTTTGCTTTGTTTGAGAGGCCATTGTGTGGGGTCAGCCTCACACTTATCATGTTCCATGTACTGCAGACATTTCTTCCAGACTCTGAGTGTCAATATAACATCTCCTCTTCTCTGTGCCTGCCTGTCTTCTAACCTCTTCCCCACTCCTGTTGTGCCCCCAGCTTTTGCATGTCCAGCCCATAGCCACTACAAGGTGTGTGGCTCGGCCTGTCCAGACAGCTGTGGTCCTAAGCCAGAGGTGTGCCCTAAGGTCTGTGTGGAAGGCTGCTTCTGTGATCCAGGATATGTGAACAGTGGACAAGAGTTAGTACAACATTTTTACCCAATCATTCAAAGAAAATATTACTCATTTAATAAATGCCCACCTTGTGAAATGCCGATATCAGGGATAACAGTTTGTTTTAAAATTTTTAGCTGTGGAACGCAGTATCTCGTAATGGCACACTCCTCCATGAGGCCATGCAAGAGGAGATGCAGAGGTCATAAAACATCTTCAGGACAGCATGGGATAAATTATAATATACCTTGCTTTGTTAATTTTTGTCAGGTGTGTTATCAAGGAGAAGGGCTGTGGCTGTAACCATAATGGTCGGTATTACCTGCCAGGTGAGACGTTCTGGTCCAACTTACTGTGTACAGAGAAGTGTGTGTGTGATGCAGCGACACAAAATGTGCAATGTGAGCAGACCGGGTGTCGAACTGGAGAGCAATGCAGTGTTGTGGACGGAGTCCAAGACTGTTACCCAGTCAGCTTTAAGACTTGCACTGCATATGGAGATCCACACTTCCGCTCCTTCGATGGACGCAATTTTGACTTCCAGGGCAACTGTGTCTACAGACTAGCCAGCGTGTGTGGAGATACTACAGGTCTGAAGCACTTTGAGGTGAGCAGAAGAGAGAAGAACACTAAAAAGTATATTACCAGACCATGACGTTCTCAAGGAAGTCACCACATGCCCAGTGTGCAGCCATTTAAGAGTTACAGAATACATTGTCTATTGAAATCAACAAGGAGTTTGAGTTTGTTTGATCAAGGGTTTCGCCTCTTTCGGGCATTGTTTTGTGCATGTGCTATAAATATATATGAGCCCCCTGTCTGCTCTCTTATTCTCCCTCCTGCTTACTACTTGTCCTCTCTACTACTCTTGCTGAATTGCAGGTAAACCTTGAGAATAACAACCGTGGCAACAAAAGAGTGTCATACACTAAAGTGGTGACTGTTAAAGTATATGGCAACACATATATACTTTCCGTGTACAACCCAGGCAGAGTGCTGGTAAGAAACATGCCCACACACACACACACACACACACACACACACACACACACACACAAGAGACAGCCTGCTAACAAACTAAACTTACCTGCAGTGAGAATTAACAGCCCTTTCTCATTCCAAAGTTGTCAATTACCGCCACTTTGTCAGTAATTTTGGTATCAACACCTGAGGCCACATTTTGCAGCAGCCACTGGGCGCTGTCAGTTTGCAACTGGACAGAAAAATAATAATAATAATAATAATAATAATAATAATAATAATATAGTAATAATAAAATCAAGTAAGATTTTTAAGTGTGAAAAGAAAGAGTTTCAGAGTTGTATCAGGAAAATCAGAGCTAGTTAAAGGCTAAAGTGAACAGACATGTTTTTAGCTGTCTTGAAAATATTTAGGGCGCTAGCTTCCCTATATCTATAGGTAGTACATTCTATAGCTTTCGGGTGTAATTGACAAAGGCTGCATCCCCGATCTCTGATCTCCAATAAACCAACAGCAGATGATCGCAGTGTTCTTGCAGGCAAATAGCTAACAAGGGAGTTAGCAATGTAGCTCAGTCTCAGCCCAAGTAGGGCTTAGTATACAAGGAGGACCTTAACATCAATACTAAATGTAATAGGAAGCCAGTGCAGAGCAGCTGGGACTGGCCTGATGCGCTTTCTCCTCTTGGTTCTGGTTAATAGCCGAGCTGCAGAGTTTTGATTGAGCTGAGGTCTCTCAGCTGTGCGTTTTGGGAGGCCAGTAAAAAGTGTGTTACAGTAGACAAGTCGGCTTGAAATAAAGGCACAAATCAATTTCTCAGCATCTTTTTTTTCCTTTAGAAATGGTCATACTGTAGCTATGTTTCTGAGTTGGAAAAATTATGTTTTCGTCATTCTTAAAGTGGGACTTGAAGTTTAGATCTGGATCAAAAGATTACGCCAAGACTCGAAACCTTTGCTGTGTTTTGATATGCCGCCGGTCAGCTGGACAGCACTTGTCACAGCAGTATGGCAGCGTCAGTTAATAACGCGGCTGTACGGCACCTGCAGCGGTGGTATGATATGCTGCAGGATGGCGTCAGGTTGAAATGCTGCCAGTGACATATAATATAATGTAATATAAGGTGTTCTAAAGTCCCTGTAGGGCAGGCAGGAAGGGCAGTGGATGGGTCCAACAAACCCTGGTCTTCCACCTGAGAGCCCAATGTTCGCTTTCTCTATGAATGTAGAACCAAACCATGATGTTTCTATCTAAACCTAACTACGAGCTTTTTTTGACATCCTGGTATTGCAGCATCCTGGAATGGCAACAGCAGACGCAAGAGGATATCTAGCACATAATATGTAGATGTGAAATGCCACTGAAAAAGCAGCATGATGTGATGACTTGGGATGAGAACGTGTTGAAATTAACCATGAGCTAACATAGCTCCCAAAGGACAGCTTTGTCAAGATCAGATTTCCAAATGGAAACTTTAATTGCACAAAGCTCTGCATTTTTTTTCATAATATTAAAAGCAGTGGAGTAGCTGAGCATGATGATGAGTGCTTGTACGACTTTACTGTCTGTGTAGTACTTGATGGCGTCAAACTTTAGATCTATTTCCTCCAGTACCATATCTGTTATCTCAACTGCCAGCACTGACACACACAGCTCAGATCATGGGATAGAGAGATGTGGTTGTTGCATCAGCCTAGCATTTCGAAGACAAAGGCCCAATCCCAATTCCTATTTTAACCCTCAATCTTAATTCTCAAGCTCACCCCTCAAAGGCAAATACGTCTTAAGACTGTCGGGGGCAGCAATATGCCAAAACACCATCCAGTCTGTCAGTTCAAAGAAGAAGAAATATATGTATCAGCAGTTGTCGATAAAAAGACGTGACAAGTTTTTTTTTTCCCCAACACTTTATTTCAATTCTTGTACAAAACAAGCAGTGACAGACATGAACAGAACAAATATGCCATGGTTAAGAGAAAAGAAAAAGAAATAAAATAAACAAACAAATAAATAAAAAAAAGTTCAGCAGCTCAAACAATTAAATTGTTTACATATTTTCAGAGTCTTTATAGCTTTGGAGTTTTTGGAGTGCTGAATGGTTTCTAAGTATTGCTGCATTTCATTCATAAAAAATTTGAACAAGGGTTTCTGTTACAAAATTTTCTCTTATGAATATGGAATTACGCTAAGATAATAAATAGATTAATGATATAGAATGGTTTTTTGTTCTGAAATGCTGACATCATAAAATCCAAACAGCAGATCTTTGTACAGTAGTGAAAATAGAACATAAATGTTGCAACGAATAAGCTCGACAAAATCTTTCCAAAAAACAGTATAGGGGCAGCTCCAAAACAAATGTACAGTTACCAAACAATAATCTGCTGCCATCTGCAGCTGTGCTGATTTCATATTGAAACAGAATGCTTGATCACTAGGGTAACAGTTGCCATTGTGACCGAGAATTATGTTATGAATATGAACAGTTCACAAGTTACAAATTACTCACTCCCCTAGTTTTTTTTTTGGAGCCTGCTTACTTTTTGTAAACTTGTCTTCATTGGTGGCCCTGAAATGAATCAGGGCTCGTGTTTTGTCTGGTGGCCCTGAAATGGAACAGAGATAACAACATTACTTTCTTTTATTTTTTATTTTTTTGGGCTACCTGTCAGATATTCGTTAAGTTATTAGTTTAGTTTCATGTAGTATTGCAAGTATTATCACAATGAATACTGTAGTCAACATCCAGCAGAACTGGTGAGTGTTATCTGATGACTTTCATCCACGTAAACGTTTCACTCTTTGGGTTATAAGTTGACATTCAACCAAATAACCTGTACAACAACAACCGACGTAACTTATTCAGCGGAAAGTCACCAGATAATACGATCACTAACGTTAACCTGCAGCTGTAACGTTACCAGCTGCCGACTCTACGGCTACAGGAGATGACACCGTCCGGTCATCTTACAAAAATGTCGATGCAAACATTTCACGTATATTAAAACAACTTAACAACTACATTATCACTGAGAAAAATGACTTTTTCTAACTGAATGACAGCATACTCGGTTAGCAGAGAACCAGGGTTACGTGCGGCGGGGCAGGCAAGCCGTCGCCCACGGGCCAAAAATATGTGTGTTACACTACAAAGAGTACGGTGACCAGACGTCCCCGATTTCCGGGGACAGCCCCCGATTTGGGTGACCTGTCCCTGGTAAAAGCTGTCCCCGAGAATGTCCCCGATTTTGACACTGAATGGGGGGAAAATGCGCGCAGACTCAAACACCAGTTATTACGGTAGTCAGTAAACGCATCGCCAGAGAAGACGTCGTATGACTTACAGGCGTTATCAGGAAGCACGACCAGACGCAGCAGCATCAACGACAATCTAGAGGCAGCAAAAAGGAGAGAAAAGGAGACCAGTGGCTGCGTTAAATGGTATGTTGTGTATGAACTTATTTATTTTGTGTGAGCTGGCAGTAGACTTGTGTGTGTGTGTGTGTGTGTGTGTGTGAGAAGTGAGGTAAAGTAAGTATGATTGTAACATGCAGTACGTAACATGCAGAAGAGATAGAAGGAGAAACTGGCTGAATGTAGTCTGCCCCCCTGATGAGTGACTTTTGTGAGTGCACTTTATAAATGTAGGCTATTCTTTGATTTTAAGTAGCATTTTGTTGATGTTGTTTAGCCTTGCTGATGCTGTTGCATGGGGGATACAGTTATTTTTATTGTATGAAAAAATCATATCTGCAGTAGAAAGTTGCACTTTGGAAATTTGGTTCGGTACAAAATGGTTCATGGTCTGAAAGGTTTAGGAACCTCTGATGTAGCACATTTCAAACAGAGGGAATTACATAGAGCAGATGAAAAAGAGCACGATGACTAAATTATATAGGTATATTACCAAAACTGATGTTATTTCTTTAAGAAACTATTCACTTACTATTGGCTCTGTTCTTGCAGTTTTTCTCATTTTCTCCTCTGCTCTTATTCTACCCAGGCTCCTGAGGCGGAGACTATAGAGTGCCGAAGTCACTCTAATGAATTTAAATTCATTAACAACATATTTAGATTTCATGTCGCAACTCAAACGGTTGCGACGGTCAAAGAGGTCTATAGTCCATAAAATGACGTTAAACTAAGATAATGCAATGGTTATCATAATTTTAAAACTATTAATGAGGAAAATACTCACATTGATAACTCTGCTTCCTTACGCTTGTCGCCACCATCTTGCATTGACTGAATCGTCTGTACTCGGCCAGGTTCGGCTGAGCTCAGCAGATGATACGCAAAGGATTCTGGGAGATTGCCAAGGGTGGTCCTGGAAAATCTTAAAAATGAGGGCCATACAGCCCTTATTTTTGACCCTCAACTCAACAGGTGGCTGCATTTCTGCAGTCAAAAGGGATTGCTCTGGACTACAACCAGGATGAAGCTTGCCACCAGCTACCCAGAAGAAACAACAATGACAAGCCAGCGGTCATACTGAGATTTGTCAACATGAAGCACAAGGTTGCACTCCTAAAACAGGGCAAGATGCTTAAAGGCACAGATGTTTACATTAATGAACATCTGACGAAAACCAACGCTGACATCGCAAAGAAAGCACTTACCTGAGGAAAATGAAAAAAATCCAGAGCACATGGACTAGAAACTGCAAGATATTCATCAAGCTTAATGGATCACCAGAAGAGGCCAAGGTACTGATGGTGAAGAGCATAGAGGAACTGGAAATGCTGGAATGAGTATCCTCATTACAAAAATAGACTGGAGTGGACTTGGAACTGAATGGAGGTAAACGCACAAACACAAGCATAATGCTTAGTGATAGAGCTCAACCAACATTAAGCGACAATGGACACGTAACGCAGTGGATACAGGAACATGAACAACTGGAACTAACAACATTTGAATACAGTGAAAGCAGCACATTGGACGTAGAACAGGATATCGATCCAGACAATAACTTCCTCTCTACCATAAACAACACATGCTATTACTACAACAATGAT